GCATGGACAGGGCAATACTTGAAATTCTTTGCCAAATGAATAGTGAGTATTTTTCTTCAAATTCTTTTTTACGTTTTCGGTATTGTTGTACTGTATTGAAAAACTAAAATTGGTACATCTCTAGAGCGAGCACTTAGCTATCGGTTTGATCTTATCGATACTCCGCAAGTGTACTTAGAACTCAGAACGTCCCCGTTGTCTTCGATGTGTCTTTCCATCAGAACTGCTTATGTTTGTTGTTTATATTTTATAACAAAAGCTCTCTGATTGAAGACCTAGATAACCCCAAATGTTGCAAATTTAGGGAACGGTAAATAAACTCATGTTTTGAATCGAACAGCGATACTTTCAAGCAGTGTTTACAAACAACATGTGACAGGGCTGTACTTGAAATTAGTTATCAAATGAATAGTGAGTATTTTTCTTTAATTTCTTTTTTACGGTTTCGGTATTGTTGTATCGCAAATTACATTAATTTGGTATTGCAAACGTAGTTTACTCTGAAAAGGAAGGTCTTTACTTTGAAGTGTAGTTTATGAAAAGTTGCAAGTTGCTAAAAAATGTAATCCTTCAAACAAGCTTAAAATTCGATATATGGATCTCAAAAGAAAAATCTACTCCAATTCGAACAATTTATTCCTGTAGACTGCTTTGAATAAAAAATGAGCGGAAACCTTGCCGTTCCAGAATTCCACAGGCAGATGTGTATTCCAAGAGTCGTAAAATAAACTTCAGGCAGCCTCACCTGGCATTCCGTTTATGAGGTACTTCGAAGTTTGGAAAGCTGTCCGATGCCCACCCCTTTTCCGAAACCCATCAGCGTAACCATCAATCTAACGAGAAGATGGGAATATGACTTTAAATCAACGTCACTTTCTCCGGAAGATTATGAGAGCTTATAGACACAGCCTTATAGAATTTTCAGCGACGTTTTGCTTTTTGTTTATTTAGTATGAGCATTGTTCATGAAATGATTCTCCAAGCTTTCTGTTAGTCTTTTGCTGCTTTACGCCTAGGCGAGAGAAATATTGTGATCGCGATATTTCTCGAACTTTGAAGGCGAATGTGATGGAACATTTCTTGAATAAATTAGGAGGTCAGGTAATATCGAATTTTCAAGGTCCATATGAGTATTTCATAACCCTATGATATAAAACCACTTTGAAATGGAGAACTGGCAGGTTGTCAAATCTGGAGCACTCAGATTAAAAAAAAAAACACAGATTTAGATATTTTTTTTAATAAAGTGTTTCATATTTGATTACATATTTACATAATTTGAATAGACTTTCCCTTCACACAAGAGAATAGAGAGTCAAAAGACTTTGAAGCTTTCGAAATGGTGGCGAAGCTAAGCTCTAAAATATAAAAAAAAGAAAAACCGCCAAGCCTCGTTTCTTGATGTTTAAAAGGGTTCTGATTATTTTCAGATACATTTTTGTATGAGTTAAAATTCTGAATTTGGGGGCTGTGAGAGGTTAAAGATGCTCTCTCAATTTTTTTGACATTTGCAAACTTATATGCTTCCAATAACGATAATTCTAATCTCCATATACACACACGCGTTTTTGAATACAGCTGCGAATGATGGGTGTTTCGTAGTCGGTGGTGACTGCCGTGGTGCCACGGCTGACGAGCGGCGATGTTGGTTATAATAACGTTGCCAGATTGCGGTACTGTCGGTACGGCAGGGAAGACATTTCTAAGTCACAATGCTTTCAAACAAGTGGAGAATTATGGGCTTATTGTATATGCCTGTTTAACCGACTTGTATTTTGTGATACGTGTTTGTAGCTCAGTTTTTCCTCAGAGAAAATAACGTGTCTTCGTGAACCGACGACATCGTGGCGTGGAAAGTGCGAAGTCAACTCTTTGAAGCAATTTTGTGCTTACATGAATAAAATTCCAAGTCAAACATTAAAAACGTTTTCGAATAATACAACCTATTGACGTGGGAAATCAAAGTGCTATCCTGTAGATTTTCGCACTATATTCACTGACTACTGTAGCGCTGAATCTGCTGCCAATAGGGTTCGTTCCATCTATACAACTAGCACATTATACGTGTTCGGTAGCAGTTTGAACCATGCCATATTAAATTATCGATTTCCAGATGAAGAGTTTATTCCAAGTAAATCTGCGTTGGCCATGGTCAGTAGCAGCCCGTCAGTATGAACCCAGCATATTTCATGAAACAGACCGATCAATAAATTGTGTGGAACACTGCCGTCGAAGTGTTTTGGAAGTTTGGCAGTCTGCACTAAAGGCAACGGATGTTTGTTGCTTTTGGACAAAGTGTACACCAAGCGGCTTTCTGTACAGGTTTGTACAGCGGCGTGACGAAAAAGGAACATACATTTTGTCTGAACTGATGAAAAAGTTGTACTTATAACTTTTCACCCAGATAGTATTGTAATCGCGAAAAATTGAAAACGAGAAGTTATGTTATATAATATAATAATAATCGCCTTTATTTGGAGCGTAGCCCTATTCTGTCAGTTAACCCCATATGAGATTTATGTTTTTTCACACACTATGCCAAGGACGGAAAAACTTTGGAGGTTGTGAAAATATGTCCAGTGGAGGTGTAAAATGAGTGCAAAAACGAAAAAAGTAAAAAGCACTCAAATTTCGCTTTGTTTTGGCGATTCAGATAAATGTTTGCAAGGCAGAAAAATTGCAGGTTAAGGTTATAGGGGTTGATGTAATGTGCCAATAACACGTAATTTTTTTTTATATTTTGATCACTTATCAGTAATTTGAATTTCTCTTTATTAATGATAGAGTTCCGATTTCTAGGCCAAATCCTTTTCAACGATTTTCTTTTGGCAAATTTCGTAATTTATTGATCTATACCTAATCCTAAAGGTATAATTTCACACATATTATACATATTTTCTTAGCGACTCAGTATTGTGTTGCAGTCTTTTGGATACTAATGTTAGAATATTTTCTCATATAATTTGGTCCCTCGTAAGCTGATTTCTTTACCTGCAACATTATTTTGGAAAATAACAAGGTCCTGACAAGCAACCAGTGATGCTGCGTATGTAGGTTCGGTTGCGAATGTTTCATCTCTGAACGCCTTTGTCAGGTTTTTGGTATTGTTTTGTTTTCCTTGGGTGAGACTCTGTTTCGTTATGTCTAGGTAGAATATTAGACAGTTTGGTTTGCCAATCGGAATTCTTAATTCGCTATTATTATTTTTGGCATTGCATCTGTGGAGTGTAGAATTTTCTAACGCCCTCCTTCTTTTAACATTGATTGACACAGACACTGACAGGGGTGCGTTTGTGAATCACTTGACAATGTAATACCGTACACAGAAATAGAATGTAGATTGACAGATGAGATGAAAACTTACCCTGTAATACCGTGAAACTTCATTTCCAGAACGCCTACATTGTTACAGTCATGTAATGACGCTTGATGGTAGCCGACTTATTTCTAACCACGTTTTCTTTAAAAATATATATTCTGGCAATTTCTAGAAAATTTTTGACGTTCCAGAGGGATTACTTGTAGCTGTTTTGTAGCCGATTTCGATGAGAAACCAACCCTTTCTCTCAAGAAGAAAGAAACCCTGATGTGAACAGGTGAAATATTATTTTAATTAACTCTTTTATAGATACTTATATAATGATTATTTTTGACTGAAACTTTCAGCTAAGTATAAAGCCCCGATGATTTGTGGAAAATAAATCATTTGTTCAATGAGATGGCCGAGGGTTAGGCGATAGTTTTGTATTCAAAAGATTATACTAAATTGCAGATTTAATGGTAGAGTTTAGAATAACTCGTCAGGCTTCAATTAGGGCTTACAATGATTCTTCTATATCTAACTTTCAAGGTTAAAAGTTTAAATCTAACTTAAATCATTAGGTTAAGTTTAAACTTTATTTTATACATAAGGCTGTCATTTTTTTGTAATTGGGGAAATCCGTAATAAATTATTCAATCTAGATTTGATAGAATAACATGTTTTTGTCGTGCAACAACACTCAATTTGAGATTGACTTTAACATTCGAATAGTCTTTTCTAAGTGGTACATTTAAGAAAGGCGGTGCCACGAGGCATAAATGCAGCGAGATACTGAGACACTTCAGTTCACAATTGATCAACTCCCTTTGCTGTTAGTTCTAAATTAATCCAATAACCTCATCGATCAGAAATGTATCCGGAAAGGGAACATCATCAAAGCCATGACCTTCATAAATATTAAATCCTACTGCTTCGTGATAGTCGAGAAACTACGTTACTGATAGAAACTGGTAGGATATGGACTGCTTGAAATTTCATTTCCTTCCAACTGTATACATAAACCGATTGCGTTGCGACTATAAATTCGGTAGTTGGTGATATTCCCCTTCAACTCGCACGGACACTATCAAGTGAGCTGGCCTTTCAGGGTTATGAACCGTCTTGTTGACTATTCCATTCAAACTTCGAAATTAATAGTCCGGGGAGCGTAGGATGCAAGGAAAGCAATAGCACTTAAAGTAAATTCAGCCTAGGTAGAACGAGGAAGACGGCGATTTGTTTGTCTTCAATATCTCAGTTTAAAGTCAGGATGGATTTGCAAGTGGTTCATTTTTCGACGGTTGCGAAATAAATTCGTGTTTTTTCTGGCTAATTTTTTGAAAGTAAAGATTGTGATGTTAGATGATTCCAGGACATGATACTTCTTGAATAATTTGCAAAGAGCGCCACAAGTCTAACGAAGGTAAATCTCTTCACCGGCTAGTATTATTAGATTGATACAACACTGTCACTTGGCAGGCAATGGATGTCAAATGAGTCAAAAGTCTGGACTTAAACTATGCACTTCCGGCAACAAACAATGCAATGCTAGCATATAGGCGTAGCTCCGTCTGGTTCTATTTGAATACGATGGGTAAACTTTAAAAGACAAGATGCTTTTGATCTCAAACCCAAAATTGCACAAGAATCATAACTGATACATTAGCATATGTCTGTGTTTATAAAGCGGTTTACTTACTATGTCACTCTGAAACAGGCTATCTGGCTCGAAATTGCTTACCTGAAAACAAAAGGTGCCAATATTAGATATGGATATTTGCTGTGTGTGCTGTTAAAATTATGGTTCACTAACGAATGCACAAGGAAAAATTAGGCCCTCCTCACTCCTATATTACATGTTTCGACCATGCTTTCTAGCAACCCATTTGCTATCTTAACATGTGCAACTATTCTTGCAATCCAGGTTCGATTCTGTTGAAGAATACCTCCTAGACTTTTACGTAAAAAAAAATTGAACACCTGCGGAAATCCTATTTCATCTCGTTAATTACAAAAGCTGCTGAGAAAGAATTAAGTTATTTGTTTAAAGCTAATTAGCACTTTTCTCCGCATGAACTCCTCACCCTGTACAAGGTCCAAATAAGAGCTAGCCGAGAGTACTCCTCACATTTTTGGGGTGCTGCCGTCGAGACCCTTTCGCACCGACGAGCCGTCGGCGATCTTATCTTTTTCTACAGGTATGTCAAAGGGCTTTGCTCCTCAGAGCACTCCTCCATGATGCCTCCGCTCTTTGAGGCTGCCAGATGAACCACCAGGCTTCTGCCTCCTATCCCAACTACGTTGGACTTCTTACATCGAGAACTTGTCGGTATGATCGCTCATTTGTTCCTAGAGTGTCTAGATTGTAGATCTGCTAAACTTAGGTTGTTCGAAAATCAGAGTAACAGGTCTTTAAGTAAGTTGTAGCAGTCGCGCTGCCCCGGTTTTAGGTTTTTGCCTACGCGGCTACTTATATAAAGGAAGAAGCGTATTAGCTTGTACGCCATGTCCAATAACATTTTTGTATTATTAGGAATTACTAATAGATATGTACTAGTATTGACATTATTTTTTAATCGCAATGTACTAGTTTAATAATTTGTCATGATATATTGATCGGTAGATAGGTAATCAAATTGCAAATCACTTGATGAATTTGAACTCGACATTGACCGCTACTGATAGACTTCAGAGGATAATTTTTCCATCGAAATAAACATCTGTTATTTTGAGTTCTCTTTCAATATTTATTTCAAATTGATTCATTCAGTTCAGTCACTTGTTGATTCGGTATGTGTTGGTGGTCGCATTATTTTCGTTGGTATCATATTGACCTTCTTGACGCGTCTTTTCTGTCTTGTTAAAATTACCAATAAAAAATGTTTAGCTTGTGTCCAAGAATAAGATGACGTAATCCTATAAAATATCCTATAGTGCAGCCCCTCTGAAGGTTGAGCCGAAATCGGTTTTCCTTATCATACTTTTTGAACGGACTTGCTTAATTCAATAAGAATGACAGTATAGTAAACAATCAAGGTCTAACATAACGGTGTACATGGAAAACATTTGGTGGATAGCCAGGTGTGTTACGGTGTCGGACGCTAGCATATCGACTCGAATAATGCGCCTATTTAGAACCATGGAAGTTGTGTTTGTCTATACAGTGTGTTTCCTGATTGAATGTCAGGACTTAAGGAGGTGATTTTTGAGTCTGTTCTAAGAAGAAAACTGCATATGAATGTTTGCCCTAACCGCCTTAACTTTTGAGATACAGGGTTGACAATAATACTAGAGTAGAAATTACATCCAAATACTATAAAAAAAGTTAGGAGGAGGTGCTACGATGATCAATACAATACAATACATACAAGTTTAAACATCAAACCTCAGTAACCTCAGCGTATCTTGAAAATAGCACCGGTTGAAATTTTTATACCGATTTTATTTATTCAAACCAACTTTTCTCCAAAAGTAAGTAATTTGTCAAAATTTTCTCAAAAGTGGCGATTCATGTAAAATTATATGATATCTATGAATGCAATAGGTGTAGTTGAGTAGAAAATACTTTTTTTCGTATAGGTTAAAATTTCCTCATTTATATGAGCCATACCGCGTCGTTGAACAGTTTTTAAAAATTAGTAAATCATGATTTCCAGTAACATCCCTTAGGAAGACCCGTAAGACATCTTGTTATAGGAATTTGTCACGATCTGTCATTTTATTCTGGGACAACCGGTAGATAGACGTCTTCGAGACGAAGTTTACAAACAATATCCTTGTTTCATCATGCACAGCTGCATCTAGGTGGCTCTGTTCCACGTTTCAGTTGTTTCAGCCAGACGTTCCATACAAAATTAATCAACTGGCAGCGAGTCGTAAAGTTTTAGGATCAACTCCATAAACTCCAGACGCGACGTTTATAGTAATGAATATCCTAAATATTAGAAGGAACAACTAAGGCTCTTTTGTTTCGTGAGTGCGTTTGCAGATAATAGGTGTATTTTACGCTATGTCGTCTGGTGCTTCTCAGCTTATACACACGCTCCTTGTTTAGAGCGTAAAGTGTAAGAGAATTGAGAGGATATGTGGTGCGGCTGAACATTTCATGCCATGTATATTAGATTTGGGTCGGTATTCCCGTTCCTAAAGTAAATACAGACCTTTGGAATCGAAATTTAATGTAAAATGTACGAACTCGAGCTGAATTGAGTCTGCTTGCCAACCATGGCGACCGTGCGACTGTGTTTCGTACTTTTTAGCAATCATCTTTACGACGTAGGACTATTCGTGTGGAGACAGACAAGTGAAGAGCAAACAAGTGGGTACAGTCTACTAAAAAAATTAAGATGTAATGCGCAATGAGCTGGTAACACTGATTAGTGCCACCTACAAATCGTTCGGTAAAGCTTGATGTGTTTTGGGGCAGTAATCTCAAAATACAAAAGGCGAAACTTCAACACACTCAGACATCTATTCGGCTGCCCTCTGGTGTTAATCTTATATTGATGGTAACAAAGGGTCTAATAAACATACTCGCGGCCACCCAATCAGCTGTTTCATGATTGTGGACAATGATCAGCACGATCTTGGTGGGACAACGAATGGAAGCAGAGCAAACGTAACTATATTTACCATCAAAATACTTTTATAATAAGTGACATATAAAATGCAATTATTTCATATTAAACATATTTGTTATCATGGAAGTATACTCTGATAAAATGTTGTAGGCATTCCAAGCCGTACTTTTTTTGTAAAAGCGTTTCTGTCATATCAGGACCCGAACAATATGAACATGTTTTTTTAGTGATTAAGTGATTTTTTTGTGTTGGTTCCATTAGTTTCATTGCATTATCATGACTAGAGTTCGCAGACGCGCTAATTTCACTAAACTTTTCGAGTTTCAGTCGGATAAGCGCATTTTCTATGTCATTTAGTATATTCAAATTTTAGATCACTTGCAGCACAGTCATGATCAGTAGCAACAGTCAGCTGTACCAAAAAAATTTTTCAGTGCCGATAAAAACAGTTTTTGACAGGTTACGCGCACCTTTATTTGAAGGACATCCGGCTCACACATTCTACCAATGTATGTTTGCATGCTGGTCTTGCAAATGATCTATAATAAAAACCATTTGCGTCAGAACTAAGAGATAAGCCTTAGTGTATCCTCGGCTGCTGATGGAATCCATACACGCCATTGTATTTTGTACAAATGCCAACAAGAAACGAATTCTACGGAGGAATGTGGTTTATTAAAAGTGTTTAGTAAAAATGCAGTTTGTAAAAAAATGTACGAAATATTTTTCAAACCGATGATTTCAAATTCACTTACAAGCAAAGTTGTGAGCGACCTCCTTTGATAGACGACAATACCCAACTAGCAAAGTAGTGCTATAAGGTAAAAGAACCATTCAGCCATAAAAGCTATCTATTGTTGTTGCCTGAACACCAAAATGCTGGCTTAATATTGTGTGGAATGCAAATTTGCTTTCTGCAACATATTTGCTCTACAATGAGGTGTTTAAAATATTCTTTAGCGTAGTTATACAACCCCTTATAGGACAAATTTTTAACTGTTGCATAAACGTTTATACAACTATTTTATAAGGCATATTTGCACGTTAGTCAAAATGGTTGTGTTGTGGCATCCATGGTAACGTTTATAAAACAAACCCGAGCCTTGTTGTTTTGCTGTGCATATTACTACTTTAGCCAACAAGTTGCTCCCGACGGAAGCACTTTTGCAACTGTTGTTTAGTAACTGTTAAAGACTGTACATATGCTAAATATGTTGGTATACAACTTCACCATAACCTAACTTTCTGCTGTCATATTTTTGTTAAAATGCCATAACTAACGATTTAAGACAAACAACGCATGCATATTGGTTCAAAAGGTTTTATCAACTGTTCAAACAGAAGATATAGATCTCTGGTACAAATTCTGGGTAAACCATTGGACTCTGTTGGTGTTTCATTTCAGACTTTTGTCAAATTGTTGTATAACACCTGCAGGCAACACCAAAATATTCTAATAACCTGAAGACAACATGGACGATGCCATGATTATACATAACCACCAGCCATATTGGGCAAACATTTATTCCTCTATTTAATATTAAAAAATGATGTTTCACTTCGAAATTACAGATATAAAGTGATAAGCATTAGTGTAATTGTGTCTAAGTATAGGATTTGTGGAAGATTTAACGCAGACAAGTTCAGTTTTCCATCTTAAAAATCTAGACATACTTTTTTTGATCATTATAAAATATGATTCAAATACGAAGCCCGTAGAAAATGCGTAACTACTTTCCACGATAATTACAATAAAAGTTGCTGCGCAAGTAATTCAATAGCCCTATATCACAGTGTAGAAGTTTATCATATACCTGTGTATCAAATTCACAATGGCCGATATGTAAGTAAACAAGTTGACTGTAATGTGTTAGTTATATATTCTTAACTTCGTCTATACAATACATACGAAATAGTTTGGTTGCGATAAAGAAGAATCACGTAACAGAATAGTTGTATAGTTGACAAAAACTGAATCTTGCACTGACGCAAATGTCCTATAGCGGCTGCAAGGGGATACACTTTTGTTGTATAAATGTTACCTGCTGCACTTATACAACCTCTTAAATGACTGAAGTGTCCTATTAGTTGTGCCCATTCCGCTTGTATAGCTGTTCTAAGAGGGTTTTGCCAATGTTCTTACAGTATATAATGCTGTGTA